TAGGTAGGTGGGTAGGTAGGTGGGGAGGTAGGTGGCTGGCTAGCAAGCTAGCTAGCCAGCTCGCTACAGAGCTGGCTAGCTAGCCAGCTAGACAGCTAGCTGGCTAGCTACCTAGCTAGCTGGACCAAGGGCTGGCCAGCTAGCTAGCTAGTAACTAGGCTCTTGGACTCAGTCGCTAGCTGCCCGCTGGGCGCTCTGGCTTCACAGGCTCGGGCAACAGCTAGCTAGCTAGCTAGCCAGCCAGCTAGCCAGGCAGCTAGCTGGCTGGCTAGCCAGCTAGCTAGCCAGCTAGCCAGCTAGCTAGCCAGTTTGGCCGTAGCTGCTGCGGGGGCTCTGTGCTGCTTACCACTAAGACGAGGCGGTCGGGGGTGAGCGCAGAGAGCAGCGCGGCCACGTCCTGCACCTGCTGCTGCTGCTGCTGCTGCTGCTGCTGCTGCTGCTCGGGAAGCAGCCAGTTGTCTAGAAAGGCCTTTTCAGCAGCTCCTGCTTGCAAAGCATCTGCTAGTGCTGCTGCTTCCATTAAGGGACTAAAAAGGGGCATAAGTGGCTGCCTGGAGGGGCCCTCGGGGGGCCCCGGGTCGAGGCTGACGGAGGGCCCCTGCTGCTGCTGCTGCTGCGGGGCCCCACAGGCAGCAGCAGCAGCAGCAGCAAGGCCCGACAAAGACCCCGAGATGCACCGCTGCTGCCTCTCGTGCAAATGAAAAGCACTTAACTCCGAAGACAGCCGCGAGAAGATCCACGGAGACAAAGACAAAACTCCGTGCTTCAAAAGCCTGCAGCAAACAAACTTGTATTATTTCTATTTATTTTTATTTATTTTTATTTATTTACTTATTTTTATTTAGTATTATTCATTTAGTTATTTGCTTGTTTATTTGCTTATTGTCTATCTAAATACTTTGTTCTGTTTGTTATTTGTTTGTTTATTTGCTTCAAAAGCCTGCAGCAAACCAAACTTTGCTGCTGCTTTATTACTTATTTATTTACTTAGTCATTTATTTACTTATCTGTTTGTTTATTATTTATTATTTATTTAGTTAGTTATTTGTTTGTTTATTTGTTTATTATTATTTGATAAAACGAGGATTAAAAAGAAAATAAAAGGAGACAAAAAGAATATCAAAAATCCCTTCAAAGTTACAAAGCCCGCAGGCACTCTAAACCCCCGCAAACCCTCAAACCCTCATTTAAAACCCTTTTAAACCCTTTTTTAAACCCTTTTGAAGCCCCTGAACCCCCCCTTGCAGCCCCTTTTCCAAACCCTCTCGAAACCCTCTTCAAACCCTCGCCAAACCCTTCCAAACCCTCGCAAACCCTCACTGAAGATATCCAAAAAAGAGGTTTCCCGCGAGCTCAATGGCCAAGTGTTTGAGGGCCCCCCCAGGAGCTGCTAACGCCAGCCGCAGCTCTGCTGCGCATGCGCTGCGCCCCAAGGTCACTTCTGCTGCTGCTGCCAGCCCAGCAGCACGCAGCGCAGACACGCAGCCCCCCGGGCCCAGGTGGCCCAGCAGCGCAGCAACTAGCCTGCAGCAGCAGCAGCAGCAGCAGCAGCGGCGGCGGTGGAGGGGGGGACGGAGGGGAGAGCCAGCAGGCAGCAGTGCAGCAGCAGCAGCAGCTAAGGGTGCTGCAGCAAAGGGGGGGCAGCAGCAGCACGGGTGCAGAGCAGCAACAATGCAGCAGCAGAAGCAGCAGCAGAAGCAGCAGCAGAGAGAGGTGCAAGGAGGGAATGGGGGGAAGCCGAGGTGGAGAGACACTGCAGCAGCAGGAGAAGCAGCAAAGAAAAATTAAAATCCACTCACATGAGGCAGGCCCTGCAGCACAAACCAGCAGCAGCAGCAGCAGCATCAAATGGGGAAAATTGGCCCAGAACACCGGCGCGCCAACAGACTCCTAACGTAGCAGCAGCAGCAGCAGCAGTAACAGCAGTAACAGCAGCAGCAGCAGCAGCAGCGAAGGTTTCGCCCCTTTGGTGCTGCTGTGCAGCTGTCGGGCGAGAAGAAGACGAAGCGAGACCGCCAAAGCACAGCAGCAGCAGCGAAACACCAATCAGCAGCAGCAGCAGCAGCAGCAGCAATAGCAGCAGCAGCAGCAGCAGCAGCAGTACTTGATATCGGAGCAAGGGGGCCTCCTGGGGCCTTCTGTCTCCAGCACGAAGACAAATTCAATAATATGTGTCTGTCGATTTGCTGGCAGCATCAGCAGCATTTTGCTCAGGTCCTGCGGCCGCGCAACAGGCTGCTGCTGCTGCTGCTGCTGCTGCTGCTGCTG